ATATATATAAAAGGAATTATATATACGAAAATATTTCTGAAATCTCGGTTTATCAAAAAGTCATGGGTTTTATTGATTATTTTGAAACTCTTACATACAAAAGAGGCTTCTATTCAACATTTTATATACGAAAATTTTTGTAAACATCTACAAGTCTAGTTTTCACTAGCGTTTTGATTTATTCTATACATCTTTTAAATGAGCTCATACTCAAAGGAATCTAAGTTCCAAAGATGATTTCAGGCGAAAAAGTCCGTGTACGCCTGCAGAAGCAACACGCTCAAAGCAAGGTGCTACAAAACAAAAAGGGGTGAGAGATATGTATTTCTTACTCAAAATTTATTTCTGAGAGTGACAGTCTAATTCGATACTGCACTCGATTCTCATCTTCACCGATTTAAGAAAATTCAGAATCGGTATTAGATTTTAAAARAGAAAATCTYGAGAACTTCTGGACACGTCTCCAAGCGGCATATGACGAAATCGTAGAATCTGACGACTCAGATCAACCAGAAAATTTTAAAACCTCGGCTTGCTCAAAATACAAATATTGCTTAGACCAATTCGAAGAGACAAAACCCATGAACTCTGATCAACTAAAACTAATCAAATCAATTGCACCTACTCCACAACCGAGAGTACAGCTGCCACAAAGACAAGCCCAAGAGGCAAGTTCAGGCATTCACCTTAAAGTGCCAGTATGCGACACAGATATATTGCTCGACAAACAAGTGACGATATTAATGAATTAACCAAAGATTCAGAAAGAAACAAGTTTTGAATTCATAAAGCTTCAATATACTGTTTCAAATTGTTTGTCCGTTTTATCGACACAGAATATTCCCACAGATAATTGGGACCCCATTCTGGTAAATATATGCACAGCGATCCAAATCCTCGTGTAAACTTCGAACAAACGTGTCCATGTATGACTTTCTCATTACCAACTCGGCATCTCTGTCCAAACTCATAGAACTAATTTTATTTATTATTATTATTATTATTTTATTAGGAAAAATATACAAAATATTAAACCTAATAGTTAGAAAGGTGTACAAGCTACTATGGCCATCGCCTCCGATATAATAGTATAAAATTACAAAGTTTATATGTTATTATAACAATTACATTCTTTT